CATTTGACTTTATTCCTTCTCATAGCTTGTTATCGTTAACTATTGTGTATCCTTCCCTTCAGGTTTCCTCTTTTTAAATTTAGTCGGGTCTTACGTTTCTGTCTATATGCAGAGATTTTTACGCAGGGATTACTCCCCACTACATACTCGCATATGAAGACTGCATGTGAAGAATGTTCAACTATGTATTTATTTATTTATTTATTTATATATGCATTGCATTTTTTCTCTATTTTTAATTTTCTGACTGCCGGAGATATTCCACGGAAGCTGCTCTCAATCTTGGTGTTGGGGGCAGCCTACTACCCTACCTCCCCCTTGTCCCATTGCATATGAGAATATGGTTCTATTGTTGTTGTTGTTGTTGTTGCAGTTCAGGGCCTTCAATGGTAGGTTGTTCGAATGCGAGTGTTGAGATGCATCTCTAGAAATTTTAAATTTTCATTTAGATTAAATATATTTTTATACTTTTTTATTGATGATTTTGCATCTTTTAAAATTTTATAAATTTTAATATAATTTTTTTAAATTTGTACATAAAATCTTATCTGTCTTTGGTTTGAACCCTGATTGTTGGTGTAACACAATAAAGAGAAACATCAAATTGCGTATATTGTTGCACAAGTGTATCAGTTTCCAACTCAATTACAAGATGTCAAGATGCATAATTGGAGTTTTATAGTAACTGTTTTGTATATTGATAATCCGGTACTTTAAATTCATGAATAACTTTAATTTAATCTTTTTGAAAATATCTTTAATTTTGATATATGAAAAAGAAATATGGGAAATCTTAATTCTTTTAGCATTATAATTAAATTAAAACATTTTACTATTGGCGTGTCACATAATATGGGAACTGATGATCAATTCGACTTGAAATCGGATACGAGGTGAAAAGTCACGGGTCCATTCTATCAGATTGGGGCCCCAACTGATAGAAATGTGAAATCCACTTCTTTAGATAGCTCACCTACTTAATCGGCCCCGTTTTTATTATAATTAAACAAAAAGTTTATACGTATTTCTTGATACAACAGAAAGTTTATATTTTAAAATTTAAATAATCTCTTTGTAAATAATATAATTTATATTTAATGTTTTAAAATAATATTATTTGAATCACTACTAACATATGTAGACCAGTATTTGAACAACTAAATTTATAATTTTCTTTTGTCTACAAAATAAACCACTATGATTTTTGACATATAAGGTAGCGTTTGGTTCGCTGGAATGTTTATGAGGGAATTGAAATATGTGAAAGAATTGGAATCTGTCAGAAATTGGAATCAAATTCCATATTCTGTTTGGTTGGAAGGAAATTGAATTGGAATCCAATTCCATATTCTGTTTGGTTAGCAGACATGTCAGATGAATTTGATTTTAGTAATGTAAAATGATAGGATTGCCCTTCTTTTTTTTGCTTAATTTTAGTTTGTTTTATAAATCACATGTAGTAATATATTATAAAAATTTTAAAAAAATTAAATTTTAATTTTATTAATGATCATCCAACTTAGTTGGTAGAGCACAAGGTTCTTAACCTTGAGGTCGTGCGATCGAGTCCTACGGAGGGTATTTTATAATTTGGAGGTCTCCCACAGAAGCTGCTCTCAACCTGGCGTTGGGGGCAACCTACTATCTTACCTCCCCCTTACCTCATTACATATGTGAATAAAGGTCAGTTAATTTTTATGCTAATAAACATCACAAGTTAAAATCATCCCAATTAGGGATGTCCATGGGTCAAGTTGGGTCGGGTTTTTGGTCCATCAGACTCGACCCGATAACAAGGGAACCTCCATCCGAGACCCGACCCGACCAAAATAAATTTTCATCCGACCCGACCCGAATATATGAATTAGAAACCCGATCCGAAATAATAAAAAATTATTTTTATTTAATAAAAACAGCGACTTAATTGAAAATATACATATATATATAGTGGTATTATTGTAATTATTCCTAAATATATAAGGTAAAATTATATATTTTTTGGGTCTGGTCGGGTATTTTTCACCCTAAACCCGAACCCGACCCGAATATCACACTTAAAAAAAACCAACGTGACCCGACCAAAATAAAGCTTCACCCGACCCGATCCAAATATATGAATTAGAAATCCGACCCGATCCGAAATAATAAAAAAATATTATTGGTCAATATATGAATAAGTTACCAAAAGATTGATGAGGGTATTATGATCATATTTCAATTCCCTCCAGCAAGGGAATTGAATTACATCCATTCTTGGATGTAATTCAATTTCCCTCATTTGATGAAAAGTTGAAGTCATGAAAAATTCCAAATCACTTGAAAAACTTAAACCAAACATGGGAAAGTGAAAAATCATCGGAAAATTAAATTAAATATCAGGTAGTTAGAGAAAAGGCAGGCAGGCCGGTACTGGCTTAAAAAATAACGACAAAACCTCTCCTCGCTGGCATAGTTAACCGCGGTTAATTAATCTGGTTGGTTTAACCACAAATTGCTTATATTCCCCCCCCCCTCAAACCAATTTTCTGCCCTATATAAACCCCTGCGAGTTTAAACAACTCCATAGGTTTCATATTGCTGAAGGCGTCTTGATACACGCCCCAACCCCTTTTTATCGTCTTCTTGGAGCAAATTCTCAATTTCCTTTTGTTATTTGAATATTTAACAAGAAGAAAAATGAGAGAGTGCATCTCAGTTCACATCGGTCAGGCCGGTATTCAGGTCGGAAATGCCTGCTGGGAACTCTACTGTCTCGAACATGGAATTCTGGTATTTTTCTTCTATTTGTTTATTTCATTTCCCCGTTAGTTTTTTTCTTCTAATTTTTGTAATTATTTCGACATTGTGATCTCATTCGAGTATATTGAAGTTATTAATTACATTTATGTTGTTGTAAATTTAATCGGATTCGTTAGAAACAGATAGCACTGGATCGATTGAAATGTTAGCTGAACGATTTCCACTCTGTTAGATAATCTAAGGTTTAGAATGTGGTGTTGATCGTTATAGAATTTTGAATTTTCAGCCTGATGGTCAAATGCCAAGCGATAAGACTGTTGGTGGAGGAGACGATGCTTTCAACACCTTTTTCAGTGAAACTGGTTCCGGGAAGCACGTCCCTCGTGCTATATTTGTGGATCTGGAGCCTACTGTTATAGACGAAGTGAGGACTGGAACGTACCGCCAGCTCTTCCACCCTGAGCAACTCATCAGTGGCAAAGAAGATGCCGCCAACAATTTTGCTCGTGGCCATTATACGATTGGCAAAGAGATTGTCGATCTCTGCTTAGATCGTATCCGAAAGCTTGCTGATAACTGCACTGGTCTCCAAGGCTTCTTGGTTTTCAATGCTGTTGGTGGTGGTACTGGTTCTGGGCTTGGATCTCTTCTCTTGGAGCGCCTCTCTGTTGACTACGGAAAGAAGTCGAAGCTTGGTTTCACTGTCTATCCTTCACCTCAGGTTTCTACATCTGTTGTAGAGCCTTACAACAGTGTGCTGTCCACTCATTCACTCCTCGAGCACACTGATGTCGCCGTGCTTCTTGATAATGAAGCAATATATGACATCTGCAGGCGTTCTTTGGACATTGAACGACCCACTTATACCAATCTCAACCGTCTTGTCTCCCAGGTAATCATAAGAATGCTTAACCAGTCTTTATGTTATGAAATGTAATGATTGTTGTTCATTAACCGTGTTGTTTTTGCATGTATGATTTAGGTTATCTCATCTCTCACAGCCTCATTGAGGTTTGATGGAGCCCTGAATGTGGATGTGACTGAGTTCCAGACTAACCTTGTCCCCTATCCAAGGATCCATTTTATGCTTTCCTCCTATGCTCCTGTTATTTCTGCTGAGAAGGCTTACCATGAGCAGCTATCGGTGGCTGAGATCACCAACACTGCTTTCGAACCCTCTTCCATGATGGCCAAATGCGATCCACGCCACGGAAAGTACATGGCTTGCTGCCTCATGTACCGAGGTGATGTAGTGCCCAAAGACGTGAATGCAGCTGTGGCCACCATCAAGACCAAACGCACCATCCAATTTGTTGATTGGTGCCCTACTGGATTCAAGTGCGGTATCAACTACCAGCCACCAACTGTTGTACCAGGCGGGGACCTCGCCAAGGTGCAGAGAGCCGTGTGCATGATCTCCAATTCAACTAGCGTTGCTGAAGTGTTTTCCCGCATTGATCACAAATTTGATCTCATGTATGCCAAGCGTGCCTTTGTGCACTGGTATGTTGGTGAGGGCATGGAGGAAGGAGAGTTCTCGGAGGCTCGTGAAGATCTCGCTGCACTTGAGAAAGATTATGAAGAGGTCGGTGCAGAGTCTGGTGAAGGAGATGAAGGGGACGAGGAGGAGTATTGAGGGAACGAGTACCTTTAACCTTTTGCTACTATGATGTATTTTCTTGATTATGAAGAGGATGGTGTTGAGTCTGGTGAAGGAGATGAGGGTATTAAGGGAAGGCGTATGTTTTGTCCATTTGCTACTGTCATGTATTTTCCTCGTTGCTTTTGGATTGCAGGTCTCCAGAGCTGAATTGCATGAGTGACGCATCAGGTTTTGTTTTTTCAGCGAATAAAGTTACCACCCGTGATTTACCTACTAAAAGAATATGCCTAATCTCCATCTGCATTTCACAAACTCCATTTTGGATTAAACTGCGGAATATATATTCGCTTACTTCAAACTACAGTTGCCACATTAGTTATCGACTCATCTATGCTAGAATTAGAGTCCTCAAGTGCAGCGCAAGGGAAGATAACACTTTGCCAGAACCGAGTGGATCAACTTTAATTGTTGGATATTATTAAATAATAATTTTAAAAAATTAGAAAATGTTCAAATAAAGATAAATTCATAGTTTATTTTTAAAAACCATAGAATTCTTTAAAATCACAATAAACTGCTTAACTTTCTCTCTTTTAAGAACATGAGTTACACCTTCATTTTTGAAGAACAGAACAGGAAACGCCGATATCAAAAAATTGAAAATAAATGAACCCTGACAATAAAATTAAATAACAATCACGAAATGTAACACAATTATCGGCTGTTGAGAAAGATGTCACTGAGCGTTTCCTCGTACCACAACCACAATTAGAAGTTAATTGAGTCCTAGCAACGTCCCAACTTTTGGACAAGCTTATTCTCTAATTCCATTCTCTTCTTCATCAATAAAGCGTACCTGGAAACCAGTTCCTGGTCTCCAGCAGCCATTGAGAGCTTGCAGCTCAGAGATGTCTTGTCCAAATCCTTGTACATCTGTGAGATTGGCACAAAACTCCCCTTTTTGTTGCACACCCAACCATGAGCAGCCCTCAATGCAGCTCCCAGAGATGCCGAATCTGTCAACGTAACAGCAAAGTATGGGGTGATCAAAGTAATTCAGACTTCAGAGTTAACCGTTGAATGAAAAGAATCACTTTGTTTGACTTAAAGAAGGTATGAACTAGATTTAAGTTTATTGTAAACAGGGCAGATTACAATACCATACTGCAAATTAGCAATAGCATACCTGGCCTTTTAACAGTATATATATCAGAGCCAAAAATTGATGCAATTGAGCTGAGAATGCTTTTATTTGCTGATGCTCCACCAGTAGCGATGATTCGATTTGGAGAAGGCATTCCGAATCTTTCCGCATGAGCACGCATTGAGAGAAATTGGCCCTCGATCAAGGCACGGACCTGTGATAAAACCCATTGCTTTTCAGGAACAGCGATAGAAGAAACTCATTAGTGTAACACGCCTAATTATTTCTTGAGTAATTTACCTCGGAACGAGGATCAAATTCTTGGATTTCTTGTACATTCAAGCCATCCAGAGTTTCACCGTTGAAATTTTGAAGAACGTACCGGTGGAAGCCAGCTGAATTTTCACACATACACACAAAAAGGAAAACTTTTAGCTGATTATTAGGCCTAGGAAATACACACACTAGAGATCACATAAATATGCATCATTCCAGATTGCATGTATACCGAAAGAACAATATACCAACATATGACATCATAAAAGTTTCTCATCTCATCCTTATGGATTCCATTATTTAATGACGTTCAAGTATATTAGCAAACGAATTAGCTGTGAAACTAAACAATCCATTTGAGAAATAATCTCATACTGAAACCTAAGACCTGCATGAAAAAATCTTGAAACCCACCAGGAAGAGGAGGAAGAATCTCATGATCCTTGTAATAGAAGCCTATCTTCCCACCTGTTGCAGAAATTAGAATGAGAGATAAAGAACAAATAACTTTTCATACAAAGTAAAATTTCCCTAAAAGATCTAATTTACTGACCATTCAGTGGAGGAGTATGCTCCAGAAATTTGTTAAAAACATCCCAAGATTTCTCAGCATAGTTATTGCGTACATCTAAATACACGTACACTTTGTTAGATAACTACACAAGAAGCCAAATGTGAAACAAATAGGAGGGGTTTCTGATACCTTCACGTGTCAAAGACCCATTTTTGTAGACCAACATAACCATATAGCCTTCGTTATCAACAGGATTTGGGAAAACATGCCCTTCTAAACTAGGTTGAGGATCCTTAGTGATTCCAAAGACCTGCAGCAAGAATGAGCAGAGTCAAGTTGGAATACAGCTGTTGGGACACCACTTAAGACTAACATCCATACTCCGTATGCTAAACAAAGAAAACTTGGAAGGCTAACTTGAAAGCCTTGGTAAATGAACCTAATGACAAAGGCTGAAAAATATTACCAAAGAAAAAAATATAATATCAGGAGATAACTAGTTCCACTACAAATGTTGATCCAATTTGAATTTCCCAAATATGTTCTTGGTGATTAAAGATGGAGCTTGTAGTGCACCAAGTTCAATTTGTTGAATGAAAAATCAGAGAAGTACATATAGAGCAGAAGAATTGATAATTTCCAAAAATAAAAACCCATCTCATGATAAAAAAGGACATTATAGAAAGTCAGAGAATTACAGAAAACAAAGAAGCAAAAGAAACATGGAGCAAAATATGATTACCAGTAATGCATGCAATCAGAACCATGAAAAGAAACTCTTTCAACGAAAGCACACATTCCACATTAGTTGTATGGTCAAAGAAGAAAGAAAGTAAAATCTTCAAGGGAGTCACAGACATGACCTTCAAGTACACCTTATAAATTAAAGATTCAAGCAGGAATCTATGTTGGCAAGACATGGATGGGACTTCCAGAATCAGAGTAAGCATAGGGATAGTATTGATCAAATAAAGAGAATAAATAGCGCTTACAGTGTCACTGGTACCCAAACTGATTGCTAGATCCCCAGGAGTGTTTAGAGTTAAACCTGCAAGCCCAACTTTTTTTTAATTGATGAAAACTGAAGATAAAAAGAATTATAATCTATGTATGATTCTGCAAAAAAAGTAAGCCGTAAAGGCTTTGTTTTGTATTCTCTGGAGAAATAAGGAAATGATTATATTGGCAACTAAATTGCTGTGGAGATTTTAAAGATTTGATAATTTCCAAAAATAAAAACCCATCTCACGATAAAATAGGGACTAGCTTAAATTGACAATAAAACTCGGCAACCAAAAAGGAAGACGACATTATTGTCTTCCACAAAATATTGATTGACAAATATTTGAATATTTGTACCTCAAGGGACTAACATAAATTGACAACAAAACTCGGCAACCAAAGAGAGAGACGACACTATTATCTTCCACAAAATATTGATTGTGTTTAAGACTAAAGAGCAGTTCAAGTTCATAAAGTATATCAAGAAAAAGTTGAACCTATTTAAGGTAGGCTTTATAGTCCACACATCATAAACCAATGAATCTTTTAATGTTATGTATTGTATAGCATCGAGTAAGATAAATTCAGGAGCATTTGTAAAATGAAGAAAAAGATAAGGATAGGGAAGTTTTAGCATTTACCACTTCTGCGTCTCTTCTGGGTTTTCTAAAGTGAATTCACTTAAACCTACATTTGCACTGTCTTCACCACCATGTAGTAGACTAAATATTTGGACACAATAGTGCTCCTTAAACTAAATTTAGACTTTAAGTGCAAATCAAGAGGAGACTAATATAAACCTACATTACGGATCGATTAAAGAACCCAAATAATTGAGTAGCAGAGATAGCACTCACGTAAAGAATTCAGTTTAAAATAGATCTAGGGGGTTAGGAACCTGCTAAACTGTTTGGATTGTCTCCCGACCACTGAACCACTGAGCAATTCTTATTGAACTTGTACCTGAAAAGACATTAATGAGTTTCAATCAGTCTCTATACCATAAATTAGAGCGATGTGACAACATATATCCGTGGATATACACATGCGGAAGTATGAACACATGAAAAGGGTAATTTTAATTATTATAAATGCATGCTGAGGGGAGTATATTCCACCATTCACTATAAAAGTTCATATAAACAACCATTGCCTACCAAGTACCAACATTGACATAGTGGAGCAAATTCTTTACCAGTATACATACATAAGCACCAGCAATTTGAAGGTCACGCATATTATAACCCATATTCAGAGTTGTTAATTACTATAGAGAACGCAAATATTATTAGTTCAATATAAAATTCCAAAGAAATGCCGGTAATCATCGAAGGTGAACTATTAGGAAGCAATATGCCACTAACCTCTCCACAAAATAGGAGGCTATAGAACCAGCTACAGCATGTGCAGGTGCTAGCTTTCCAAGCTTTTCCTCCAAACCTGGAGCTGTAGCCTGTAATAAAATTGAAAGTTCAACAATGTCATTAAGTAACATAAAAAATGACAATCTGAACATAAGAAAAATCCATCAACAAGATTCAGAGATTGAAAAATAAACCACAAAAAGTTAGAAAGCAAAACAAACCTCTAGTGCAACTTTAGACCAAGCCCTTTGCTTTATATCCATCAAATTCATCCCTGCACCATCAGTTGTATCAATACAAGCATAAGCCCCTATGAAGAGACAAGCCATGAAAGAGCTAACAAGAGAGATCCGCTCAGTGTTCTTATAAGCTTCTTGTTGCGTCTCAAATATCTTTCGAATTTGTGGTCCTGTATATCTCTCATAAGCACGTGAACCCGTAATTTTTGATAACTCCAATGCACCTCCAACAGCTTTCTCTATTTCTCTACACTGAGCTGTGGTGCTGCAGTCCATCCATATTGGTGATTCCTTGATAGTAAAAGCATTTCCAAGCTGCTCAACTAATGGTTTTTTGGGATCCAAAGATGATAATAATGTAGAACTACCATTCTTCCAATAAACACTGCCATGTTGCTGGCCACTACCAGAAACGGCAGCAATCTTCCCAAAGTCCAAATTGGAATTAGATAGTCTTTGAAGAATGAGATCCAAAGCCTCCACCCACATTATGGTGGGTGAAACAATTCTGCCATTAACATTAGGGTCTCTGTAAACTCCATCCTTGGTCTTGAAATGAGGCAAATCAGAGTCAAAGTGGATTAGCTCCGAAGCAACAATAACAAGATTAGAGTCCAAAACAGTTGCCTTCAACGACCTTTAAACGAAAGGGGGGAAATCAAACGTAAGCTTAACTCCATTATAATTTTTCAACTAGCAGAATTCTAAAGAACAACAAAACATCAATCGGACCCAATTGGATAAGTATTAAACACAGATCATAACAGCTTCTACAAGTCAATTTCTTTACAGCATAAGAATAAATACGCAATTTGGCTACATGGGTTCTTCCAGTTTCCGATTTATTATCTAAGTCCTGATCATAAAGGCCTCGAATTTTAAAACTTTAAATAAGTTAGAATTTTTTTTAACAGTAAAGAACAAAACATGGACAAATGGGTAGTTTTAGATTTTGCTTAATGACATCGGAATTTGGATCACGGAACTAAAGGGAGATAAGAGAGAGAGCTTACTGAGTAGAGCTATCAAATCCAAGGAACAAAGCATCATTAGGAAGAGATATATCCCCCATCTTTTTGTAAAGAAAGCTGTGATCGTCAATTGAAATCAAGCGAAACCAGGCAATGCTAGGCGTTTTGGTTAAACAGAGAAGGTAATTAAATCTGGCTAAAGAATTTCCATATGATGGGCAAAGTAGATAAGGATACGAAATATATTAACGTTGGATGATGAAACATTCCACCTAACAAAATAATACTACTTATATCAGAACTCTAGTTTATTGAAAATAAATAAATAAATAAAAGCTTAAATGTGTGTCTATAGATATATCTAAAAAATAATTTTAAAAAACTTTTTATCTCGAAGTAATTATTCCCTCTTTTGGAAGTTCTTTAAGAAATATCAATAATCATTTTAAGGAATAAAAAACTATATTGTTTCAATGTAATTAATTTCAATTTATTTATATTTTAAATAATAATTAAATTAAATTTTATTAACAATTAAAAATATTAAGTAATTAAATTTATTTAAATAATAATTTTATGATTTTGGTATAAAGGAAAATAGGAGTAGAAGAAAAGATGAAAGAAATTTTAGAATTTCATTGAATTTTCATCACACCAATACATTATCTCAATTTTAATTTATTCTAATACAATATACTAAACCATTGCAATGCCAGTTGGATAACTAACTCCAGTCACATTTGTATGTTTAAAGTCCACTTCTTTAGCGTCATCATATTGATTTTCCTTCATTTCCCTTTTGTCTGAATCAATTTTCCCTATTTCACTCTCAATCCCTAAATCCTCAATTCCTTCACTCCCCGATTTCTACAATTCAAGCCATAACTCTGCCTTACCAGCCATAACATTACCCTTCCCTTCACCGGATCCTTATCCCCACAGATCAAAACCAGAGAATTAGGACCTCAAAACAGAATAATCTTCCCACGTAGCGCTCTCCGGTTCCAAATTTGACCATTGAATGAGGAGTTAGGTCACGACTTTGTTTTGTCGTTTGACGATGCGCTTGTTCAACACCACCGTCTGATAAACCTGAAGTTGACCATCGGCTCTAATGTTACATAAGATGCTATAACAACCACACAAGTATACGTATCGTTCAAGTAATAAAGTGGAAGCTATAAAAGCTTCGAATGTCGAACCCACAGAGAGCAAAACATGTTACAATATAGTTGTGTGAAAGATTTCAAATGATGTAAGGTTGAATTATGGAAATAGAAATAAACAACAAAGTATTAAAAATCAAAATGATAAGTGTCAGGTAGTGCTATAGCATTCGGGTGAGCAACATAATAAAGATTCAATAGATGAGGGTGGTATTTGGTCGTTCCCACTATCGATATGCTTAAAACAGTGCATTCATATATCTAGCAATGATTAACAATATTCAATTAACAAGAATCAATCTTCATTAATTCAATTTAATCAAATAGTTAACAATGTTGGGCAATTGTCAGCATACATCTCTATACATTAAACTTTGCTTTTCACAAACACCAATGTTACACAAAGATAGCATGATAAAAATCTACAACTTTTATTTCTAAAAATTATAGAAATCACATACATAGAGATGAAATTATTTCTAAAATCTTCCCATAAGCGCGCACATAAAAATAATTTTTAAACATAAAACATAACAAGAGACATTTAATCAAACACCTTATGATCAAAACCAAATAACTTCTAGAATAACATAATTATTCTACTAAATAATCGTCACTTTCCTATCTTAGAAAAGGGGCGAAAACATAGTAGAACTCCACTTGATCGTCGCTGTTACACAGCAGTGCTCCCCGACTACTGCTACATTTTTTGACAAATTGTTTAGGCGGCCATGGTAAGAGAAAAAATATGAGGCGACTAGGGTTTTTGATGATCAAAAAAGTGTGTAGAAAAAGTTATATTTATAGCCCATCAAGCTTAAACTCTCCACCAATAGAAGAGTTCTACTTTTTCTGAAGATTCATTCTTAAATTCAAATTCCAGTATTTGATCCCGCACCAGTCGTTGACATCTATTAATTCCTAAAATTACTCCAGTTGCTTGGTGAATCCGGAAGGCTGCAACATCATCTCGGTAATACATTCCAGCAACATCGACTACAGCGTTAACAATGTCATAGCAAAAATATCAAAATCAACCCAAGTACCAATAATTCACTCCCAATATGCAAATGATGTAAAATATGCTAAAATAAATCTAAATATGATCCTAAGAATGCTAAAATGCAAACTTAACCTAAGTAAAAATGATATAAAATATAACTCTTTTGGAGAGTTATCAGGCTCCAACCCCAGGAGGATAAAGAGAGGTAACAATATTCATGCCAATTTTATTCTTCAACAAACTTACATGAAAAACGGGGTAAATTTCAAATTTGCAGGTAATTGTAATATGTATATGACTGAACTAATTCTCTCAATGACTTTGTAGGGACCAAAAAATTTGGCAGACAACTTCAAGTTTCAGCGAAGAGCCACAGAGGTTTGATGATAGGGTTATAGTTTAAGGTAAACTTTGTCTCCAATATTAAATTCCCTATCGAAACAATGTTTTTCTGCATTCTATTTCATTCGGTGTTTGGTTCTGATGAGATTATCTTTCAAAACTCTGTTTAATTATTCTCTTTGTTGTTGCATATCCTGAATTGCTTGAACTGGTGTGTTGTAGTTTGGTTGTAAAATTGGAGTCTTATACCCATACAATGATTCGAACGGTGTCATGCCAAGGGCTATATGGAAATTGGTGTTGTACCACCATTCAACCTGAGGTAACCACCGTGCCCAATCCTTAGGCTTTAGGGAACACATATTGCATAAGTATTGTTCCAAACATTGATTAACTCTTTTTGTCTGACCATCTGTCTCCGAATGGTATGTGGTGCTAAATACAGTAGTGGTTCCTAATTGATTAAAAATCTCATTCCAAAATAAACTCATAGAAACTTTGTCATTGACTGAAATCATAATTTATGGTTGACCATGCAATTTGTAAATGTTGTCCAAAAATTTCCTTGTCATTTCTATAACAGTGTAGGGGTAAGAGAGCCCAATAAAATGACTATAATTGGTCAAATTATCCATCACTACTAATATACAATTAAACTTTAAAGACATGAGAATGTTTTCGATAAAATCCATCGTGATTGCCTCTCAAGCTCGATTTGGAATAGGCAAAGGCTGAAGAGACCATGTTTAGAAATATGTTCCTCATTCGTTCTTTAGTAAACATTACAACTTTGAACATGCAACAAAACTGTCGCTTTTAACATTGGCCAGTAGAAAAGATGTTTAATATGTTGATAGGTGGCATGATCCCAAGAGTGGCCTCATAATGGAGAATCATGTAAACATGAAATAAGTTTTGCACGTAACGAACCATCAAATCCAACATAAACTCGACCTCAAAACTGTAACACACCATTAGTATAAGACCATTCTTCAACTTATTCAGTTAGAATAGACACGGTTGTAATATGTTTATTTTCCAATTCATCATTTAGATAAGAATTTTAAATTTCATGAACCCAATGAGGAATAATTAAAGTAGCAGCCATCATTAATAATTCGACTCTTCTTCATAAATTTAATAGTATAATCTAGCCCCAACAACTTAGTCAACCCACGTTTCTGAATAGTTGTCGTCAACTTTTGTTCCAAAAAATGTTTAAGTGGCTCATGATCGGTTTTAATGACAAAGTCGTCATTTCAAATAGTGTCTCCATTGTAACACCCTAACCCGTATCTGACCCGGATACAAATCTGATGTATCACATTGACTTTTCAAATCGTTTACTTTTGAAAAATACTTGAAAATTCAAACTTTTATTTATATAAAAAATGAGGGAATCCTTTTATCAAAGTATAGAAAGAAAAATCAAATTCCAACTGAAAGTAAAATACTTAATAAGTTACATAAATACAGTAAAGTTCTTTTACAAAAATGATAAGAGCATATACAATTTAACATATATTTACATGTCAACCATATTTAATACAACAAAACACATATTGTTAAATCTTTTCTGATATGATCTTCAGAAGACTTATGCTGTCTTGGCTCCTAACTTTAATCTTCTTGCCTCTCCGAGCGTACGTGTGAAATACTCACATGCTAAGTCGTTGACTTAGTGAGGCATATAAAATGTATCATAAAATATCACATCATTTAATCATATTCTAAGCATTTCATACAATCATGCAAAGAAACTATAGAACACATCATATAACAAAAGCATAAGTGCACACACACACACACACACACACATATATATATATATATATATATATATATATATATATATATATATATATATATATATCCTCATCAGCATCAGCATCATCATTATCAATATCATTATCAACATCATTATCATTGTTACTATCATTATCACAGTTCCTTATATCTTTTTTTAATAGCCCATAGTACATCATTGAGAACTTAAGGTATGTGAGTGCATTGAGGTTGTGCACTAATGTTGTCACCACAACTCGTATAAATTGCACCGAAGTACCACATAGAAATGTCTCGAATGACCACATAGTATTGTCCCAAAAGACCGCATAGAGCCCTCGACTCTTGGCATGCCAATTATTCCCTTAGCTTTCATATCACATACTTATGGGCTTTACCTTTTATACCATTTCATATAGTTTATCACATATGTATGTATTCACATATACCATTTTTACTTTTCACATATTCATATAATCATGTAGTTCAATATCACATAGACATATAAACACACAGATCCTTATCACATAGCTTATAGCACATGTTCATATAATCTCCTAGGTCAATAACACATAGCTTATATCATATGCTCATGTAATCACATAGATCACATAACACACAGATTATGGTCACATAACATATATCATATTTTCATGTAGCATATAAGTAAATGTCACATGGCTTATTTTACCTTTTCATGTAATCACATAGACCAAGTATAAAAGTGCATATAACACATAAACATATGCTTGTATTCAGTTATACATAGAAATCATATCACAACATACTAGTATTTATAAATCATAAAATCCAAATATTGGAAATAGACTCATCGTAAGTCTTATTTTCCATATCATCATACATTATAGTAGTATGTACTCACCTTGGCCTCACTTAATCAAAGT